GAAACGCTCTCCGTCTCGCTGAGCAGGCTTTGGAAACTGGTCGAGGAACTCTAGGGACACTAGCAGCACAGGGAGAGCGTATTCATAAGTACGTTAGACAGCTCTAGACGTGATTTACACAGCTAACTCGTTTCTAGCACGGAACGCAACCTCGACCTTGCCTCTATCCAGAGCGACAGAGCAAATGGACAGACCAAGGAACTGGCCCGTAAGGACGCCCCCCTCGACACGTATGATCCATGACTAACCCGTCTCCAGGCATCAACGCAAGCATGTTCTCCATCGTCCCCAACCCCTTCACAGGCAACTCCAAGCGCGAGAAGCAAATGCAACAAGCCATGGACCAGCACGCACGCGACCGTGACACCCGAGAGCAAACCAACCGGGCCAAATGGGAGTCTGGAGCCCGCGCAAACGAAGCCCAGCGTAAGCTAGCCACAGGCGGTGGTCCACAAGGCAACAACAAGAGCTCGCTGGCTGCACGTTCGAAGTTCCAGTTCGAGGCTGATGAGGAGGACGATGAGATGGAGAACGAGATCGATAACAACTTGGGTACGTATTTCCCGCCTATTCCATTGATGCGTGCACTCTAACAGATTTCTTTTAACAGACCAACTTCATGGCATGGCCAAGAACCTCAACCAACTCGGTCGCGCGATGGGCGAGGAGGTTGATAACCAGAACACGCACATTACACGCATCACTGGCAAGACAGATTCGGTCGATGACAAGATTGCCAGGAACAGGCTCAAGTTGGATCGCATCCACTAGGTCTGCACTCCAGCAAGGCGAGCGGAATGCTTGTCCTCGAGTGCAACTAAGCCTAGTCTAGGGTTAGGGTAGCGTGATGGCATCAATCGAGACATAGAGCTTGGGATACGGCATTATAGGCGTTTTGGACACAATGACACAGTTTTCACCTTGATCTCAAAAAGCAGATCCGTACTGGATACGACACGTAATATTGCTTATGCCTAATGCCTGACTATGTATACTCAACGCCCGGACAGTACTCCAACAAAGATATTTCCAGTGATCGAAGGACCGTCCATGTTATACCACGTACTCTCATTACTCATTACCCACCAATCGCCATACTGATGCCATACCTACGCCAACAACAGTTTGAAGCTCGCCACTTCGAATGCGCGAACCTCGATTGGCACACCCTTCTCCTTCACTTCTTCCGCTCCTACCCTCATGTCGCTTATGTCCAGCGGCTCACCCTCTTCGTCTTCCAGCGCATTGACCTTGATCACCTTCTTGACATCGACGTCACCCCAAGTAAGCACACCCTTGCTCTTTCCACCCAGACTGTCGTAGATACGTAGAATAATCGAATGACCCTTCTTGATTGGCAGTTCACCACGGCTGACATCCTCGTCGTCTTCACCGCGCTTGATGGTGTCGAGCACAAGGTTGGGTGCGCCATAGATGTGGAAGGGGTTCAGAAGACCACTGTGCATGGCGGATGGCGGAGCGTGCAGGCCCTGGCGGCCAACGATCTTCAGCGGGTTGTTGAACTCAAAGGCCTTGCGCACTGTGCGTTCATCCAGACCGCCCTTGTGAGGGAAGATGGCGTAGCGAGTCTTGTGGCTGCCCATGTCGGCGTGGGCGTCGGGGGCCTTGGGAGAGCGGATAAGGGACAGACGCATGACATTTCCGGCAACTGCAAAACCGTACTTGCTGTCGTTCAGGATCGAGACACCGTAGGTAGCCTCGGAAAGATCGGCCCACTTGTGGCAGCAGACTTCGAATTTGGCCATGTCCCATGTAGTGTTGTAGTGCGTGGGTCGGCGCACGATACCGAACTGCGTCTCGTAGCTGGCTTCAGTGTTTACAATGTCGACTGGGAACTCGACCTTGAGGAACCTCATTGTCTCGTGCCATTCGATCTCTGCGTCAAACTCGATAGCACTGGGTGTGTTTCCTACGGCTGCAGGTAGACTCATGGTCGTCTTGACCCACGACTTGTCTGAGACCTTCGTCTCAATCACCAGGCTCACACGGTGAACGCTGTTCTCCGCAATGGTCACCTTGCTGGGCTCGAGTTCCTGCCGGGACTGAAGGTGGTAGACTTCGACATCCCAGGCTTGCCAGTAAAGTGGCTTGTCGTCGTAAATTACAAGCTGACCGGCTTTGGCGCCCTTCGGGATCAGTTCGCGATCGGCGCCAATATCGAAGAGCGAGGTGATGGCACCGTTGTTGACCTGTACAACGAATTGCGAGTTGCGGAGTTCGTAAACATTGGGATGGATCTCCTCAATAGTCGCCTTCTGAGCAGGGTACGCAGAGTGGAGTGGGAACACGTCTAGAGCGCCCAAACCCTTCTGAGATCCGTTACGATGAGCAAGACCGTACTCTGCCCCAGGAGGACTATACTTCGTTCGATTTGCCTCACTCGGTAACTTGATGATTTCGGTACGGCTCCATGGTAAGGTGTTTATCGCGAATAGCTTGGTGTCTTGATCCCAGCTAGTCTCATCGTTGAAGCCAAGTTCAGCAAGGGCGTCGGAAAGCAGCCTCTCACCAGTGGCAAACACTTCGGCGTAAATCTAATAAAGTCAGTCACAAATCTGAGTTTAGAGATCAACAACATACCCGATCGGAGTCGTCGTAGCACATTTCGATGGAACTTCCGGGCAGACAGTCATGGAACTGACACAAAAGCACGTTCTCCCACATGTCATCAATGTCCTTCTTTGGGTACTTGTACGAGCTCCTCTTACCGAAGCCGTTCTTGATTGTCGCCAAAGTCGCCAGGTACTCAATGTCCCTCAGCATGATCTCCGACTTCCTGTTGTTGCGCTTGTTGTTCGACTGTGTAGTGTATGTACCACGGTGAAGTTCGAAGTACAGCTCGCCATACCATGTCACGAGCTCAGTACCACTCTCCACCTTCTTCTCCAGGCGGTCGAAGAAGTCATCTGCTGAGTCGCCTAGCTTGACGCGCGGCAACAGACCAGCAGTGTCGCTGATACCACGGCATCGCCTGAGTTTCTCAAGGTGCTGCCATGTCGGACCACCGCCTCCGTCTCCTTTGCCGAAGACAATCAGCGATGACTTGTCTTGGTCGAGCGACTTGTGCTGTGTGACGCTGCGCTTGACGTCACCGAAGTTCGCTTCGCACGTGTACGTCTCAGATGGCGGCATATGGCAGATGACCTGACTGTTGTCCAACGCGACCCAGTTGAATGTCGTATGTGGAAAGTTGTTGATGTTGTTCCAGCTTAGCTTCTGAGTCAGGAATCTAGTCATACCCGAAATGCGACAGATCTGTGGTAATTGCGTCGAGTATCCGAAAGTGTCTGGCAGCCAGAAAGTGCGGCACCGCTGGCCAAACTTGCTCTCGAAGTAGCGCTGGCCATACAGGAATTGCCTGATGAGTGACTCACCGCCAGGAAGGTTGGTGTCATGTTCGACCCAACTACCGCCGATGGGCTGGAAGCTGCCTTCCTTGACCTTCTTCTTGACGCGATCGAATGTGGAAGGGTAGTACTGCTCGAGCCACTTGTATTGCTGCGCTTGCGAACAGCAGAAGCGAAGCTCGGGGTATCGCTCGATGAGGTCGCACTGGTTCGACCAGGATCGGTTGACCTTTCGCTTGGTCTCGTCAAACGGCCATAGCCAGCACGTGTCGATGTGGCAGTAGCCGATACCGTGGACGATAGCCTCCTGGTCGGTCTCGTATACTTTGTGCGAGTCTACGTCCTTGCCGACATACTCAGCCGCAATCTTGCGGCATGCTTTGATGCTCTCTTGGCTTCCATTGCCCGCAATGAAAGTGTCGATGATGCGGTTGCCGACCTGCTGGGCATCATGGGCCTGTGTTGAGTCTCCAGGGAACTCGCGGGCGGCATCACCGATCTCCCAGAAGTCGAAGTATAGCCCTCTCGCCTCCAGGTTGACCGCCTGGACCTCAGCAGTGTGCAGCGTGTAGTACTTGTCGGGGTCAGGTGGCTGGATTGAGTCGCCGCCGGGAGCATTGCCGAACATGCCGTTGCAGGCCATCTCGATGTAGAAGGTATGCTCTTTGCCGTCTCTAAACTCCTTGGGCAGGATCCATTGTGTGCGTTCGCCGCCACCCGTCAGGCCGTGCACAGTGTGTCCATCTTCGGTCCAGATCAGGCCCTCGTTGTTTGCATCCCAGACGAATTCAAGATGTTCCTTGTCCAGCATGTGCTTGGGCACCGTAAGTTGGACCTTGAACCAGTGGGTCGACCAACTGGGGCCAAATGACTCGCCGACTTTGGTGGGGTGGAACGCATGCGAGGTGGCTTCCTTAAAGAGCGGGCGCGAGAGGTTCGGGGGCGAGTAGACGGAGAGCTTCACCCAGTCGGTACCAGACGCGACAGCTTCGGTGAGCTTGCTGTATGACGTATGAGCATCTTGGAGCTGGGGACAGAGGAGAAGGAAGGCGCGAAGCTCGAGACTTACCCAATAAGACTCTGTTCCCTGTATTGTCCTGCATCGAGGAACTGCCTCAGTCGGCTCTGGTAGATGCTGTGGATCTGCTTGCCAACGGGACCAGCCGCCAGCTGTGGGTAGTCTTTGGCCACGGGCACGGGCATGTTGCGGTGCGATTCTCCTCCCATGGTGGATGAGGCTGGAGATGGGGATTAGAACTCGGTCGAGGCGGTGTGGGAATGTCGACAACGTCAACAGCACGCTACAGCAGCTGTGGTACCTTGCATGGCTCCGGCTGTGTTGGGGAGGAGCTCTCCCCGCATCTTGGCGATGGAGGCCCATGCTCCCTGCCCCATGATCCATTACCCACTCATCTCCACTTGGTCCCATCGTGCAGTCAAACTTCCTTTTCCACCCTTTGCGGATAATCGGCATCTACAGGCGGTGAATCTGCCAATACTCGTCCATCCAGACTGAAGTTGTAGCGTATTTGGGTGACATTGGGGTGATCATGTAGGCGCGACATGTGGTTTCACATCGCTGTACTCCGTCTGCGTCTGACTTGTCTCTTGTATGCCAGGTCCATGTCGTGCTCATCCGGTATGTCTGCTGGGGAAGTGTCGATCTTTCTTTTCTGTGTGCATCTTCAATATGCCTTGAGGCACTGTCCGCGTCCTCTTGGCACCATTATCATTCGTGATCTCATCTTCAATGTCTTCAACAATTCGTTTCCTCTTCTTCTCCTTGCTATGCAGGAATTCGTGCATTCTTCGGTGCCCATTTGTACCAACAGTCCCTTTTCCCATTGTATGCTCATCTTCCGGTAGATATCCCACCTCTGTAGCCCCTAGATGTCGATTGATACCATTTGCTAACATCTTTTCACCCAGCAGAACCGCCATGCGATCTTCCCATTGTCGCTGCTTGTTCAGAATACTTCGTATACGGTAGATGTCTTCATTCTCACGGCGCTGGTTCCTCCCATCGGCCTCTACCTGTAGTAGTCTGCTGGCCACCAAATTGGCCGCTGGACCTCGATAACCTGTATCACCCTGCTCGACTTCAAGCGACTCGCAAGGCTCAGCTGTCAAGCTGTCGCGACTGGCTGAGGACGACGTTGGCGCTTGTGAGAGTGGTGTGGAGAAGTCGCGATACATCGAAGGACTTGTCGCCTCACCATTGCGCTCGTCTGCCCATGAATTAGGCAATATGTATTCGGCTCGCAGCGGGCTGTGGCCATATATGGGATAATATGGGTCGCGCCATGGTGCCTTTGGGCGCGGATATGAGGTGAGGAGGGACGATGTCAAGTCCGAGACGTCCAGAGGCGGCGTGTTGCCAGCCAGAGGTGTGAAGATTAATGAAGATAGTAAGTCAAGCATGTCGCTGATATGATGTGCAACTGGGCTTGTGGATGAGGAGGTGAGTGTCTTCCACAGCAAGGGTCTTCACATCGTAAAGGTAACTGAGCTTCTGCTATTGTCTCTATCAAAGCGGAGCGCGCCTCAAGCTAGTCTAATTGAGGAGTCAGTATTCACTATGCGGCTTGTCAATAGCAGCGTCAGTGCAGAGTAAGAGAAAGTGAAGGTGCGCACGAGATCGCCAAGGTGAAAGTGAAAGGGGGCCGGGGCCGCATCTCCAGATAGCAGGATCTGAAGATGCGCAGTAGAGAAAATAGATTGATGTTGAGAACCTTGTGATAGCTAAAGAGGGTATATGATAACGTTCACACAAATGCAGATGTGATGAAGTGGGACGTCGATGTTTGTTGCATTGTAATAATTACTATACGGTCCAAGACGTGCTATTGAACTAGGTAAATGATGTAAACCAAAGACATACTGCTACACTCTTGACTGAGCTCTACAAAGCCTTCTGAAGATCAAACACCCACGACCCATCTAACACTGACTCTTACTATCAGCAACCCTCTGCCCACCCACCGCACCATTGAAGCCCTTCAACAGCGTGTACCTTCCCTTGACACTAACCTTATATATGGTGCTCTTTGTCTGATCCGTGCTAGTAGCCCCATTACAAGTAACACTACTCTTCACACCCGTCAAACTAGACTGACTCCCCGAACTCGAACTACCTCCCTGATTCGGCGAATCAACACCCGCCGCACACGCCGCATAAGCCGAGCTCTTCAGCCATTGCGTTTCCTTACCGTCTGAAGAAGTGCCAATGGGAATGTAAAGGCTGTTAACTTGCTCCGCTTGCGCGGACGCAGCAGGTCCGGAGTCTGCGGCGCAGGAGGATGCTGCTTCAGCGCCCTTGGCGTTCTTGATGGACTGGGAGTTTAGGGCGTTGGCGGTGTTGGCGGAGGTGAAGATGAAGACTTCGCCTAGGGCATTGGTTGTAGCGACTGCTGTGCTGTTTGCGGCGCCGGATGAGGATGTGGAATCGGAGTTTGTGCCGTCGAGGGCGGCAGCTGCGGCGGATGCGGCGTTGCCTGAAGAGAAAGATGTTGTGATCACGCGAGCTTGTCGGCCATCTGCCAGTGCTGTGGCGTTTGAGACACTGTTTCCACCTTGCTGGGAGGTGGAGTCGGAGTCTGTGGTGATGTTCCTAGGCGCCGAGGGGTTGATGGAAGTGAACTGTGTGTTGTATGCCTTTCCGTCTGCGTAGTTGGCTATCCAGGAGACGAGAGTGCCCGAACTGGCGATGAGTGGGATTTTGACTGTGTAGCCGTTCACTAGGAGTGCCAGAGAGTTGGATGATGATGGATTGGAAGACGTTGGTACCCGCACGCCGAAAGAGTAATCGATTGGGAGTGATATTTCGGGCAAGAGGGCATCTGCAAGAGCTGCTCGGGAGCGGAAAATGGCGGGAAGGGCTGTGGCGGATGCCACGAAGAGGAATGGGGTGAAACGCATTTTCAAGTCTGGAGGTGAAGACAGTGGAATGAACTCAGTATATTTTTGTTCCTTCGATATCATGCACGTTTTTATATGGCATCGCCGTCTCCCATTATGTCACACTGGTCGCGTTGCGTCATACACGAATTGTAGTAGTGTCCAGTATTTGGCAGACCTTTTCCGTAGACACCTGTTGGGGTAAGTCAGGCGCTCTTTCTCGGGCCTAGATACTCCTACCTCATGGCCGAAAGGACGCCGGCATGTTGTAGTGTGCCCTAGGACACGACCGGAAGCCTTCATCGAGTGTAGACGATGTGGATTCTAGTAGGCATATGGAAGCCATCAGAAGCCGCATGGAAGAAAGGCGTCGCTGTGACTTCATTGGTATTTTAGGTAGTCTCTCCATCACATCTAGATGAATCCGATGAACGGAACGACGGTCGATCCTCTTGCACCTTTGGATCCAGTCAAGGCGCGCCCAGAATGCCATGAGGGAGGGGTACCTACAGCTCTTGCTAAGGTAGTGTGTACCGTACTTCTACTAAAACGTACATTAGCCAGCCCACATTCATTGCATCGAAAGATGTGAGCCAATCGGAAAAGTCGCAGAATCGAAAATGATTTGACCTGTTTTCGCACCAGTCACTGAGATATAAGACGTCGGCTGCTCGGAACGTAGTGACCTCTTCCAGCACGGCTACAAAGGCCGTGGTATAAGACGAACACTCTCCCATGCGCCCTCAATGGCTCTGGAAGATGACGGGAGCATTGTCTCATTGCGTAGGGTTTCGCTGACGTGTCCCCCATTTTCCGGTGAGATGCAACCGTCATTTTTACAAAAGGTACTGTCATGTTACACCACTAATGAAGAGATTCCAGATGGAGTCATTGTAGAACGAACGATGATGGCTTGCGATAATGCCCTGCGAAGTCTGCGGCAAGTACTTTGGTTTGTTCGTGTTACCTCGCTGCGAGAGGGGCCATTGGCATCGGTATCGCGACGATACGTTTGAAAGTCACACTGATATTGGCTTGAGAGCCGTTGCTACCAGACACACGATGAAGGGAATGTGCGATTTGCTCGCACGGACGAATTCAAGACAATGTGCAACATCTGCCGGGCGGTGGCTGCACTTATGCCATAGCATACGCCGGTGGCACGCTACTTACGGACCGGCCCATGTCGGCTTGGGGCAGACATGGCTCAAGGAGCTTTTTGCATCCGACAGTTGACGCACGAGCAACTTCCCGTCAAAGCAAGGAAATGAGAAGGGTGGCTGGGAAAAGCAGCAGCCTGCGCACAAATGTTGGGTCGCCCTTTCCTAGGTAGTCCAGAAGGCATGGACGTAGGTGATCTGGCAGACGCACGCTAGCTGGCTTCTCCTCGATCTCAGCGCACGATCAGGTCCGAGCGCTCACACCAACCCGAATCGGTCTATCGAGAGGTCATTGATGTCATCCCGGCGCGCGTTTGAGAGGAACGAGACGTGCTCTACCAGATTCCAAGGTGCTCTGGCCGCCATACGGAATCGTGAAGACTTCATGATGTAGGTGATTCAGGGTGGCTGGCTGTTTAAGATGAGAACGGTTGAAGCTTGCGCAGGTACCTGTACGTCAGTGGAGGGAATCTGGGGTAGTACAAAGATTGTTTGCTGGACGCTTGTTCTTCTGGAATGTATCGCACGCTTCTCCCCCGACCGTTTTTGCTTGTTGCTGCATATCGCGCACCTCGTGTGACTACGACTCCTCTCAGACTTGCTCTTCGTTCAGTCTCATCAAAAATGCCTTCCAAGACCGACGACAAATACACGGATCCGCAACTGCGTGATGAAGTCAAGGAGGAGATCCAAGCTGGTGACAAGGGAGGTGAGCCCGGCCAATGGTCAGCCAGAAAGGTAGGCTCCACTAGTGCCAGTGTCCTTTGCACCACTGACATAGACAATTGCAGGCACAGATGATGGCATCCGAGTACAAGAAACGCGGTGGAGGATATACCACAGACAAGAAGGACGAGAAAGCGAAGCATCTGGATGAGTGGACGGAAGAAGAGTGGCAGACAAAGGACGGCAGCGGAAGCGCAAAAGACAAGAACGGCTTGGAACACCGCTACCTGCCGAAGAAGGCATGGGAGGAGATGAGCGAGAAGGAGAAGGAGGAGACAGATTCCAAGAAGCAGGAGGGAGGCAAAGAAGGCAAGCAACATGTGGCCAACACCTCCAAGGCTGCACAAGCGAAGAAAGACGCGACCAAAGACGGCGAGAAGAGTGGCTTTACCAAGATCGAGAAGAAGAGCAAGACGGACTGCACGACACAATGGGACGACCCGGACCACATGGAGGAGGATCAACGGGCATACCAGAAGTTCTTGGAGAGCAGCCGGAAATCCAAGAGTCCCCCGCAGGACGATCATCCAGGTCAAAAGCGAGGACGTGGCGCAAACATAGAGGCTCCCAGTGCCAACAAGAGACAGAAGAGCACAGTCAACAAGCACGATGAGCCTATTGCAGCTGCCGGCGACATAACCCGTGTGCCGAAGAAGGGCCAGAAAGTTCAATGGCATTCGCTCCCTGGCTATGTTGACGGTGAGGTTGTGGAGGTTCTGTACGAAGAAAAGCAGGTCGATGGCAAGAAGGTCAAGGCAAGCAAAGAGGATCCCAGGGTGGTATTGAAGAGCGACGCATCGGGGAAGATTTGTGTACACAAGCCCGAGGCAGTGTACTTCGATTAGAGCATGGTAGTGTTGCCAACTGGAGTTGGAAGCACGAGTTCACGGACGTTCGGAAGAGCACGTGACAGACTGAATCGTCCACGGGTGTCATCCTCGTTATTCGGCGTCGGTGAATAGGGAGGTGCCGTAGCATGTAGCAGCAGTGCTGTGTCAACAAAAACCATTCTATTACTCCAGACTCGATGCACGTCGTAGTCCAGGTGGCGATTGTCAGTAGCGCAGAGCTAGTATTGTGAGGGTGTGATGCGGCACTCAAACCCAGGTAGTTGCCTGGATGCATCCAACGTCGAGGTCTGGACGTGGTTCACCAGGCGAAGGTCGAATAGGAAGTGTACGGAGCGGGAATAGCAAGCTGTTCGCTCCGCTGTGTGTACGTCTATATGACCGCCGACAGGACGGGCTTAGTTGCAGACGTAGCGGGCCTGGGCCGCATCCAGGCAAGACGGGGAAGGAGCAGAGGTGCATGCGACGAGGGTGTGATTGGGCGGGCAGGAGCGATCTGCACGTCTCCCCAGGTGGTGTATCCACGGCGACGCTGCAGGTCCTGGCGAGGGGCTCGTCTGTTGTCGCGCGCAATAACGAGGGCAGTCGTGCAACGTTGGGCCGTCTTGTCGAGGGGGCAGCGGCCATGGTGCTCGGCTGATGATGGCGTGAACATGCGTTCGCGATGCTGCACAGCCGTTCGAGTTATTGTCCGACGGGATTAGTCGTCCTCTGGCTGTGTCGTAGCCGGCCTTGGGGAGGGGCTGGCGATCACTAAGGGCTGATTACACACAAGCGCAGTTTTGCAGAA